TTCGACTTAGAATTTACGTTAAAGTTTTTGTAATAGTTCAAATATTTTCAAAGTCCATTGACATATGGCTTTGAAACTTTACACACTTGTCACCATCATGACCCAAACCTGGAAACAGGAGGAGGTAACTCTATCAAGCATTTTGACAGAATTATGCCCCTTTTTCAACTTAGAATTTACGTTAAAGTTTTTGTAATAGTTCAAATGTTTTCAAAGTCCATTGACATATGGCTTTGAAACTTTGCACACTTGTTCACCATCATGACCCCAACCTGTAAACAGGAGGAGGTAACTCTATCATGCATTTTGACAGAATTATGCCCCTTTTTCGACTTAGAATTTACGTTAAAGTTTTTGTAATAGTTCAAATATTTTCAAAGTTCATTGACATATGGCTTTGAAACTTTGCACACTTGTTCACCATCATGACCCCAACCTGTAAACAGGAGGAGGTAACTCTATCAAGCATTTTTTTTACTATCAAGCACTAAGAATAGTCGAGGGTTGCTGTCCTACCGACAGCTCTTGTTATTTTAAATGACGGGACTGGAAATAATTTTTCAAGATTAATGCTCCATTTGATATGGGTCTAGACCAATAACGTGTAATACACTTGTTACTGTATATAGTAACAAAATCGCCTATGATTTCAACTGATTATGAGTGTCACGTGACAGTTTGCGGCCAGGGCCTAGAACTAGTTATCAGCCCACTGAACATATGCATGTGCACAAACTGAAACAATGACGTTACATTTTACGTCATAAAACAGTTAAATTAGCATGAATCCCTTATTTATTATGAGAGCTGAAGCGTATTTCGTACACACAATTTTATAAGCTCACCTTGCACAAAGTGCAGGTGAGCTTTTAGGATGGCCAACCAAATGGCATCCGTCGTCAGTCGTCCGTCCACATTTTAAATATTCTAAGGACATCTTCTATGATACCGCAAGGCCAATGTTAATGAAACTTGGCAGGAATACTCTTTGTATGAAGCTCTATCAAGATTGTTCAAAGAATTCCATTTCATGCAGAACTCTGGTTGCCATGGCAACCGAAAGAAAAATCTTTAAATATCTTCTTTTAAAAACCGTAAGAGCTAGAGCTTAGATATTTGGCATGAAACATCTTCTAATGAGTGTCTACCAAGTTTGTTCAAATAAAAGCCCTGGGGTCAAAATTGGCCCCGCCCCGGGGGGTCATTGATTTTCCCTATATGCATATAGTAAAAACTTAAAAAATCTTCTTTTAAAGAACCCAAAGAGCTAGAGCTAAGATATTTGGCATGAAACATCTTCTAGTGAGTGTCTACCAAGTTTGTTCAAATAAAAGCCCTGGGGTCAAAATTGGCCCCGGCCCGGGGGGTCATTGATTTTCCCTATATGCATATAGTAAAAACTTAAAAAATCTTCTTTTTAAAGAACTGTAAAAGCTAGAGCTTAGATATTTGGCATGAAACATCTTCTAGTGAATGTCTACCAAGTTTGTTCAAATAAAAAGCCCTGGGGTCAAAATTGGCCCCGCCCCAGGGGGTCATTGATTTTCCCTATATGCATATAGTAAAAACTTAAAAAATCTTCTTTTAAAGAACCCAAAGAGCTAGAGCTAAGATATTTAGCATGAAACATCTTCTAATAAGTGTCTACAAAGTTTGTTCAAATAAAAGCCCTGAGGTCAAAATTGGCCCTGCCCCAGGGAGTCATAGATTTTCCCTATATGCATATAGTAAAAACTTAAAAAATCTTCTTTTAAAGAACCCAAAGAGCTAGAGCTAAGATATTTGACATGAAATATTTTCTAGTGAGTGTCTACCAAGTTTGTTCAAATAAAAGCCCTGGGGTCAAAATTGGCCCCGCCCCGGGGGGTCATTGATTTTCCCTATGTGCATATAGTAAAAACTTAAAAAATCTTCTTTTAAAGAACCGTAAGAGCTAGAGCTTAGATATTTGGCATGAAACATCTTCTAGTGAATGTCTACCAAGTTTGTTCAAATAAAAGCCCTGGGGTCAAAATTGGCCCCGTCCCAGGGGGTCATAGATTTTCCCTATATGCATATAGTAAAAACTTAAAAAATCTTCTTTTAAAGAACCCAAAGAGCTAGAGCTAAGATATTTAGCATGAAACATGTTCTAATGGGTGTCTACCAAGTATGTTCAAATAAAAGCCCTGGGGTCAAAACTGGCCCCGCCCCGGGGGTCATTGATTTTCCTTATATGTGTATAGCAAAAACTTAAAAATCTTCTTTGAAAAAACCCAAATAGCTTGAGTTTAGATATTATACATGAAACATCTTTAAGTAAATATCTACAAAGTTTGTTCAAATAAAAGCCCGGGGGTCAAAACTGGCCCTGCCCCAGGGGTGTCATTGTTTTTAACTATATGTGTATAGTAAAAACTTAAAAAATCTTCTTTTAAAAAAACCCAATGAGCTAGAACTTAGATGTTTAGCATGAAACATCTTCTTATGGGTGTCTACCAAGTCTGTTCAAATAAAAGCCCTTGGGTAAAAATTGGCCCGGGGGGGGGGGGGGGGGGGCTATATACAGGTGAGCGACCTCAGGGCCATCATGGCCCTCTTGTTACTATTGAAATTTAAAGAAATAACACGACAAATTCATTCCGAAAAAAATGAAAATAAAACTTGCTTCTAGATTCTATAGTAGTGTACTTTGAACATACAAAAAGAAAACAAGTCTGTAGAAGTTACTGTACAGTAGAACTGTAGAAAGAAATTTCAAAGTATTTTTTTTTTTAGAAAAATGTTACTATTAGATTTACCAAGTGTATTAAAGCCCGCGGAGTCATTATTCATTTTTGCTGGCCGATTATCACCTTCCGGCCCTACTCTGCCGTGTATTAATCTCTTATTAATGCTTCAGCATAAAATTTTCAGTTTATCCTTGATTTTAGGATACTGATGCTCCTATTATCAATCTTTTCTTCATTAATTTACATGTATGAAGAAAAATCTAAACAAAACAATTTCAGTATGTTTTTAGCTCACCTGTCACAAAGTGACAGGGTGAGCTTTTGTGATCGCTTTTCGTCCGGCGTCCGTCCGTCCGTAAACTTTTACTTTAAATGACATCTCCTCATAAACCACTAAGCCAATTTCATCCAAACTTCACAGGAATGTTCCTTTGGTGGTCACCTTTACAAATTGTTCAAAGAATTTAATTCCATGCAGAACCATAAGAGCTAGAGCTTAGATATTTGGCATGAAACATCCTCTAGTGAGTGTCTACCAAGTTTGTTCAAATAAAAGCCCTGGGGTCAAAATTGGCCCCGCCCCGGGGGGTCATTGATTTTCCCTATATGCATAAAGTAAAAAATTAAAAAATCTTCTTTTAAAGAACCCAAAGAGCTAGAGCTAAGATATTTAGCATGAAACATGTTCTAATGGGTGTCTACCAAGTTTGTTCAAATAAAAGCCCTGGGGTCAAAATTGGCCCCGCCCCCGGGGGTCATTGATTTTCCCTATATGCATATAGTAAAAACTTAAAAAATCTTCTTTTAAAGAACTCAAAGAGCTATGGCTAAGATATTGAGCATCAAACATGTTCTAATAGGTGTCTACCAAGTTTGTTCAAATAAAAGCCCTGGGGTCAAAATTGGCCCCGCCCCAGGGGGTCATTGATTTTCCCTATGTGCATATAGTAAAAAATTAAAAAATCTTCTTTTAAAGAACCAAAAGAGTTAGAGCTAAGATATTTAGCATGAAACATGTTCTAATAAGTGTCTACCAAGTTTGTTCAAATAAAAGCCCTTGGGTCAAAATTGGCACCGCCCCGGGGGGTCATTGATTTTCCCTATATGCATATACATTGTAGTAAAAACTTAAAAAATCTTCTTTTAAAGAACTCAAAGAGCTATGGCTAAGATATTGAGCATCAAACATGTTCTAATAGGTGTCTACCAAGTTTGTTCAAATAAAAGCCCTGTGGTCAAAATTGGCCCCACCCCAGGGGGTCATTGATTTTCCCTATATGCATATAGTAAAAACTTAAAAAATCTTCTTTTAAAGAACCCAAAGAGCTAGAGCTAAGATATTTAGCATCAAACATGTTCTAATAGGTGTCTACCAAGTTTGTTCAAATAAAAGCCCTGGGGTCAAAATTGGCACCGCCCCGGGGGTCATTGATTTTCCTTATATGTGTATAGCAAAAACTTAAAAAATCTTCTTTGAAAAAACCCAAATAGCTAGAGTTTAGATATTAAGCATGAAACATCTTCTAGTAAGTGTCTACAAAGTTTGTTCAAATAAAAGCCCTGGGGTCAAAACTGGCACAGCCCCAGGGGTGTCATTGTTTTTAACTATATGTGTATAGTAAAAAATTTAAAAAAATCTTCTTTTAAAAAGCCCAATGAGCTAGAGCTTTGATGTTTAGTATGAAACATCTTCTTATGGGTGTCTTGTGTAAAATCTGAACTTATAAACATAATATAATATCAAAGGTTGTTGGGTCTATCACCAGCAGTGTCATACCAATAGTATACAGCCTGGTATGTTATGAACTGGACGGTCAATAGCCTGTTCAATAAACTTGATTATTACAGGAAAGCAAAAATTCAACATGTTTAACTGATTTAAAAAATGAATTAATTATGTACATGCAGTTTTTGGTATTTGCTATCCATATACGTATGAATGTATAACTGAGAAAAAAAGTTGAAATGTTTCACACCATAATTATGCATTATGGATCCGTGTTGCTGTCATATGGTAAGTTAAGGACTGGAATCCAGAATTATACTCCACTCTTTTAGATCTCTTTAACTGCAATGTTAGCACTATACTTTGTTTTTTGTGCTATTTAAAACACAATGAAATGTTAAATTTGGGTAAAGTTAGATCGCTCTAAAACAGATACATATTTTTAGTTGTATTTGTAACAATACAGTTTTTACAGAAAAACATGTGAAAAGTACCTGAAAAACTTCACCGACCATAACATTAAAATGGGTGGGTGGATGGGTAGGTGAGAATAAATACTGATATAGCTTCAGCTTTGATTTAATTATTAATTTCATGAAATTTATAAAAGTAACAAAGTTTTTTTTTAGAGATTCCAAACATTAGATAAAAAGAATGTGTCTACTTGGAAATTAATTTTCTTTCACACTACAGTTTAATTTTATGTCCAGTTTATTGCACAGTTTAACTTTATATCACGTTGACACTGTTACATAGCACAACCTTCAACAACACAGTCAATGAGAACTCTACAACTTGAACAATTCCTTATCTCCACAACAGTTGAATGAATGTTGACATAGCAACCCTTGCTATGCAGTTTACATGACGTTCCACTTTCCAGTTCTCCTGTAAGTGGTCAAGACTTGATGGGCTTTCCTTCTGATTTTCTTGTCAGCATCGTTGTTGAAGATGTCTAAGGCGTCGGCAACATTGTCCTCCATGTGAGATGGTGAACCATCACAGAGTGTGTGCATGACCTGATGTAGTAATTTAATGTAAAAATTGAGTTCATCAAAATGGATTTCATATTTATATACATTTAATAGACGCACAAAACATAGTTTTGTAACTTTGTTTTGTAATAATAAATACTAGTACATGGCACACTTTAAAGAAAAAGTGCCAGAGGGAATAACTTAAATACATGTAAAATCTGAATCTTGGTAGATATCAAGATCAAAGTCACCATGGTTAATGTTTCAGTAAATAATCTAGATTTTACCTGGTATCTGACAGTGGCCGACTCGTCATCTATCATTTCCATCACTCTGTTCCAGAAGTCGGACAGATCTTCCTTTACTCTGCACGGACACATTTCCTTTAGTGCTCTCTGCCTTACACGTGCACTGTTGTGTTTGGTCAGTGAGATTATGGTCTCAATAATGGTGGTTTTCTCACACAATCGCAGTGCTTCTCCTTCACAAAGTGCTAAAATTTCTGTTTCCGACAAATTTGTCATCTTGCTAATCTGTAAATAAAAAAAATAAACTCTTCATATTTAAACATGTGTATAATAACAATCCCTCTTTTAGTCTTATTGGTAAGAAAGTCTAAAATTAGCTTCAAGACTAATAGTTCTCTGATCATTATCTTACAAATACAATTAACCTGTTTCAATTAAAAGTTGCTGAAGAAGAGTCTTAAAATGATCAGCTCTGTTAATTGAAATTGTCTCTAGTATTTAGTATTATGTACAAAAACATACTTAGAAGTTAAAAACTCAAATCTAATAAGTTCCAACCCTTCACATCTTACATGTGATAAATATTGCTTGACATGGGTATATATAGTGTTTATGTTGCATTTCACAATCAACTGACAACTTCGGTTGCTAAATTAAGAATATATTGAAGCTGCTCATGATTGTGCAATACCGGACTAATGATCTAGGTATATGTTTACATAGACACCGGTATTTCGGATTATTATTATAATTTTATAATTAATGTTGTACAAATTTTGAAAATCAATGAGGACTGACGCACAGCTAAAGGTAATAAGATATGCACGTCGAGACAATTTCTCGGTTGGTTTTTTTTTCAGCATACTAATCAGTATAATGTTTTCTCGCCCTATAAGGGTAAAAAATTATAAATTATTATTTTGGTCCGCAACAGGACGTTTCGGCCCACAACCTAATCGACCCAAATGCAAAATTGGCCACAAGACGAAATCGGCATTTTTTCAAATCAAATCAAAATGTTATTGTCGGTATATATAAATTATTCTTCACAATATTACACATTCAAATACATTTTCAAAATTTTCATGAAAATAAGCATGAATCTGGTGGCATGCTGCTTTAAAACTGACAACAACTGTATGCAATCAAAGACAATTGGAGTTAATATTTTGCCATCAATTGACTATTTTGTTGTTATAACATGATGCATGAACTAGACAAAATCTAAGTGTCAGTTCGACAGTAGGTAGTACCTCTGGAAAAATGGTCCTTTCAACGATTATAAATAAAAAATAGGACTGATGTAACAAAATTGTACCTACTATGGGTTATATTTTATGTACATGAACTACTTCTCTTCATGCAAAATAATGGGTATAATTTCAGAACCCCATAGAAAGCCTCATAACTAAAGCTTATTCTTGACTAAGAACCTATCAGGATTTCCTTGATTTGTGTGAATTGCAGAATTTTGATGTGTAACAATCAATTTTTTTGTTCAAGTGAGCTTATTAAAAAAAAACTTTTTAGGTAAAATATCTATGCATGCCAGCAATGGCTACACACAGGCACTAGACACACCTTTGAATAAAGCATTTAGTCTTGCCCAACATATAAACTATAACAAGCCTTATATTATAATACTGCACGTTTGTAACGTCGCTTTTCATTGGATTATCGTGACGTTTATATAGCTTTATATACACGGCTACTGTCAATTCATGAAGAAACCTTACCTTTTCTCTAAACAATGATGATTGCTGTATTATGAATTCGTTATTAAGATTGTTGACAGCATATATGGCCGTATATAAAAGGCTGTTTGCAATATAACCCTCACCTAACGGCTCAGGTTATATTTACAAACAGCTGTTTATATAGGGCCATATAACCTGTCAACAATCTTTATAACTAATAATATATTGGACTGTGAAGTATGGTATATGCAGTGGTCAAAATATGTTTACATGCTTAAGATAGGTTCTCAGATATATTTTTTGTTGTCATTCAGAATCTCCTGTAGTGTAGGGCAATTGCCCAATATTAGCACAATATATGACAACTCGTAGTACAGTTAGTTAGACAAGTATATTATACATTTTACTAACAACAAAACAGAACTACATATTAAACAAATTAATACAACATTTCCTTTGGATCTTAAAACATTTTAAGGTATTACATTGAAAAAATATCTTGTTATAGAGGTATAAAGTTAGTCAGCCACCGGTAGGAGACTGGTCAGACTGCATACACGTAGATGTGCAGGCTGGCAAGTGGAGGAAGAGTGGTGTAGTGGTAGCACTTTAGACTCCTTGTCAGGATGTCATGGGTTTGAATCCAACCAGAGGTAAGATTCTCTTTCAGCTTCCTCAATCCACACTGGTGCAATTATGGTAAGGAAGTCCAGGTAGCAGTCTTCTGGCTTGACTTATAAGCGCCATGCCCAGGTCCTTAAAAGGTCGTGTTTCTTGCAAAAAACATCTGATCCCTTTACCTTCCCCTGCCTACTTAAATGAACCAGCTTTCATTTAAAGAACTGTTCTTTACTAATTTTTGGGTATACCTGAAAATAATAGGTTTTAAATTTTTTTAAACTTGTTTCGGCATTGTAGTGTGTTCCTCTCATATTGTTTAATGTTGTTATCAAGATGGAAATTTCAAGTTTGTCTGCCAACAAGAATAGAGCCTGGTCTGACAGCACAGATGTGCTGGTTAGTCTGGCAATATACTGGTGACAAAGTCTCAATCACTTTAGATTTCAGCAGTTTGGCCATATTTAAAGCTTCACTGAGGGTTTAAAGCCTTTACACATACCATTTTCTCTATAAACCTGCTTCTTTAAAGCCTTGATGCATAAATTTTGAAAATCTTACAGAGATAACCAGTGTGGCCTTTAAAATAGAAAATTACGAAAAATATGAAATACAATTGTGCCAAAATCACTTTGAAAATCTATATTTAGTGCAATTTTTTAGCCCAACTTTAGTTAAAAGCCAGTTTTATGTCATTTTCAACTTGTTATTAAAGTGATTATTCTGGAAAAACAAATTGAGAGAATGATCTAAAATTTTGCAAGGAAGTTATTTGTATAGACCTCCATTGAAAGGGTGGAAATGCTTTAATATGTATGCATTGCTAAGTTAGGGTGCTATTGATTTTTTGCATATTAAATTACATTGTACTTTCCAATTATTTCAACAGTTAATTTTGATAGATCGTATAGTGAATAAGAATAGAAACAATTTTAACAGTATGATACTGTTGATATATTTTAACTACATTTGAACATTAAAGTTTGAGCATGTGCAAACAGTAACATTAGGTTTAAGAGGGATGTATTGTTGTTTTATTTGTCTTACACAGACAGTTAATATTCTTGCAAGTTTTTTTTATTTATTTTATGTTGCACGAGCCAGAAACAAGACACTGTTTTTCAAATATTATCTTTTGTGACAAATTGAACATTGTCATGTTAAAGTAGCTTGTTTGCTAGACTAAAGTGGCAAGTTAAGATTTCAGCAAAACAATATAAGAATGTCAGCCTAAAACTTATTTGGAGAAATATAATTTTAGAGATTTAACCTGTCTTCATATTTCCGGTTTAGCATTTCAAGGTCTTTTTCGATTAGTTGTATTTTGGTTAGAGATTTGAAATCCTTTTCGTGTTTTATCTAATTTTTATGACATTTTATTGACATTAGAATGATTAATGGAAACATCCCTTCATGACTAAATCTGTGGAGCTTTAGGGGATATTGCCCATGACCTTGTAAAAGGAAATGCTATACACCTTGACCTTCAGCATGTTTATGCATACAATTTTGCCTTAGTAACACTGCTTGAAGCTTGCTATTTTTAGTTCTCAATGATACAAATATGAAAGTAAAACAATGACAAATTTCTTCAATGTCATTATTGAACTTTCATTTTATGCATCAATAACCACTTTTAAATATATCTTTTTATGTTATCTGAAATAATAGGTATTCAATGAATGCATTGACAAAGACTTCTTGTATTACATAATTTAAAAATATGATCTGTAGATTTTATCTAAAAATCTTTGTATTTAGCAGTTATTAAAATGAGATTTAAAATTTCTTTAACATGCCCAAGGCAGAATATGTATTAAAAATTGTCACTAAGAAGTTCTAAATAAAACTTTAATTAGCCCAAATAAAACACAGAGCATGATTTGCCTGAAGAATTAAAAAGTTATAGAGCAATTTTACCATTATGTTTTATGTGTTACCTGTTGATTTAAGAAACCAAGTTGTTATGACAATTAAAATATCAGTGTAACTTTTATTGATCTATAGATAAAGATCTAGACATTTCTTAAAAATATTAGAGTATGTGATAACTCTGTTTGACAAAAATAATTTCAAAATCAAGATGAAAGGTGATGAATAAACAAGCATGAACAAAGAATTGTCTGTATCATATATGTATGTTTGATGTTGATTATCTTCTGTTTTATCTTACTGCAGGTAATTGCATGCAAGATCATATTTGAATTTTCAGAAGAATCTGAGATATGGTACAGGGTTTTTAGTTCACCTAAGCACAGCATGCTCATGATAAGCTAATGTGATCCCCCTGACTGCCCATCATCTGATCATCTTGCCCGACCAGGCCATTTGCACAGTTTCAAATACGATATTAAACTTGGTATGAATTCTGGTCTAGATTTAGATCAATTGACCTACTTTCTTGTTGTTTGATATACAGCTATAATTTGGACCATGTTCTAAAATTGAATCTGCTGACCTAGATTTTGGCCTTAAGTGACCTTCTTTCTTGCTTTTTTATGTACAGCTATGACATTTTGACCATGACATTGTGCACAGTTTCAGATGCCAATGACCCCCTTGTTTGTTGTTGTTCTTAGCTTGATTATTCCAAGAATAGGGAGAGTTATTGTACATACCAAGGACATCCGTGTCACACTTTGTGTGCAAGTTGGTATTTCCAAAACTACTGAAGGGAATGGGTTGAATCTTCACGCTCTTATTGGACAGCATATTAAGAGGTCACTTTCCAAGGCCCATAACTGTAACATGAAATTTGACAGGAAAATGGCCCTTTTTGAACTTACCTAAATTCTACATAAAAGATTATCTTGACTTGTGTTTTACTATCAAGCAGTTAGAATAATTGAACACACTGTCCTAATGACAGCTTTTGTTCACTTAGAAATAATGTTCATTATCTAGGCTCAAGCACCAAGAACCTGTTTTGTTATCCCCCGCCGATGGAATCAGGAGGGGGATATAGTTTTGGCGTTGTCCGTCCGTCCGTCCGTCCGTCCGCACTCACAGGAGAGTAATTATGTGGCTAGAGGGACAATAGGTTCTCTTTGATGTCATTCATTCCGTAATGCTTTTATGTGGCTATTTTCTTTTGTGTGGCTAAAAAGAACAATAGATAGAACAATAGAGTGGCCACATAATTACTGTCCTGTGAGAACTTCCGTCCGTCCGTCCGAATTTCGTTTCCGGAGTAGTTCTCTGCAACTACTGGCTGGAATTCAACGAAACTTTATGGGAATCATCAATATCAAGAGGAGATGCGCATATCGTCAGCTTGTTCCGGTCAGACCCTTTAACTCAGAGTTATGGCCCTTGATAAGTTATGTAGAATGCATATAGAGTAAAATTTTGTTTCCGGAGTAGTTCTCTGCAACTACTGGCTG